GCTTTGATTATATTTGACTGAACTAGCTCAGATGCAGAGTAATGAACACAGAGAGCATTGCTTACTTCTTAAATAAATTTTTCTTATTTATAATATTAGTTCCTACAGATTATAAATTCTGTACTTTATTCGTTATAAAATATTGTTCGAAAAGTTTTTCGAAAGAATTGATAACGATTTTTTTTCTTAATTTGTGCATCGTACGGAAAGAACCTCATATAACTGAAAATGTTTGTTCTTGTGAGTCCTACAAGATGCCGTAATGCAAATTGCATAAATAATAAAGAAAAAAAAACTAAAAAGTCGGTGATCGCCCCATAGTGGGGATAGGTACTGTGTATGTAAATTCTCACAAGACTACTCCGACTGGTCAATCACTTCACATCCGAAGTATTTCGGTTTTTCTTAATTATGTACTTACCCCATGCTTTCGGACAATACATTGACTATGACATTATTTGCGGTCTCTGTGCTTGCACTACTCTGTACATTCTTTTCCGACTGGGTCTTGATATTTAGGTACATTTTTAGTGTTTCTCTCTTGAAACTAGAAAAGTATAAATGATCAGTTTGGCTAATGTAAATGTAAAAATGCAACCTATTAGGCAGCCTCAAACAAAAAATTACCTTACAAAAATATAAGTATTAACCTCAAAATACAACATTCGAGCAGCGTTCATGCGATAAACTCTCTTTGTTTTACCACTTAGGTAACATTTATTTCTTTTCCTACCCATATTTACATTTATAGACACTTAAACGCGTATAAAACACTGAATTAACGATTTTCGCTACAGACACATCGACTGTTGTTACCTTACGTCACACGTCGAAGCGCCTGGTAATTTATTACGGCAAACTTTTATCTGGCAATATACGATATTATTATTAGGTGTTTTTAATTAAAACGAATTATGTTAATAAATAATATCTTGTATCGAAAATAAAGATAGCAGGTACCTTCGGAATCGCAATATAAACATTTTTACGTAAAAGAATTTTTCCTAAACTAAAATTCACAGAGTTTTGGAAGAACAATAATTTTATATATCATTTCTTAACATTTTTTATTTGTTGGTATATTCATTTATTTTAAAATGACGACGACCTTGTGAAGGACCCGAACAAACCTACAAAAATGTTTTAAAGCTCAGAACTACTTCAGGTCAAAGTTCTAGTCAAGAGAAATACATTAATTTTCGCCAGTTCTCTTCGTATTCGGCCTTAAGGATGCATAATAATTTTTTAGGTTCCCAAAGAACGAAGGCCTTCAGAAATTGTGGATTGATAATATAAGCCAGGTAAACGTAAAACCAGCAGCAGTAAGAAGAATGAATATGCTCCTTGCATCTTGAAAGAGAATGTATAAACAGAACGTTTGATGTAGTTCGGCTTAAGGATGATGTGGTTCCCACTATTTTCCCAGTAAGTAAAGTATATTTTCTATTAATAAGTTACTGTTTAACACACATTGAACTCAAAGCATGGAGCCCGTGCCCGTTGATTGATGTCACATGCCTTGTAATTATTGAATTTTGGAATGTGTTGTTTGTTTCAAAATTTGAATCATCAATTGACCAATGGTTATTAAATACACGAAGATTTGTGTCTCGAGCTGGGGGATGGTTGTCATTTTGATTCATTTCAGCTCAGTCTTATAGCAGCTACCCTTCATTCTTGTTAGTTTTATTAAAATATTCGTTGGAAGTCTAAAATCATAAATATTTTTGATAATAAAACAGTTTGTAAGTACTCAAGAATTAAAACAGAACATCAGTGAGTTAAATTACACGAAATTAAAGCAAAATATGCTGACTACATATATTTCTAAAACTTAACCTAAAATTAATTACCCAAACTTGGACATAAATAAGTTGGTTATAAATAAGAAATACTGGCAAGATTCTCCCATTACGTAATCTCGTACCATTGACATTCATACTTCAAATAACCTTCAAAATTGTGTTGGAATAACAAAATAGAATATAGTTAAATGAGTGTTTACTAGTGAAACGATATTGCTTCAGACTTTTTGTTCACTTTAGTATTGTATTTGCACCATTTTATTACACAGCACGGCATTTTGCAAGCAAATTTACCTTACGACGCCCCGTGATGTACTGCCGAAAATGAGCGTAGTTTGATGCAAGTGTGTGCGTGAACGCGTGTGTTTACATAAATGAGCGGAGTTTTTTGGCTTTACCAAAAGACCGCGCTGTATCTACCTTTTTTTACTTCATCTGAGTTAATAACTCACGTGACCTGGAGGTATACCGTGAGGACCAGTTCGAGTTGGCGCAGGACAAGACCGCTTGGGAAAACTTAGGGGAGGCCTTTACCCAGTAGTTGGACAGCATGGGTTAGACAAAAAAAATCATAAGAAACCTAATACATAGCCTGTAATGGTGATTTCGTTAATCTCTGAAAAGGAGAAAAAATGCGTGCGTCGACTCAAGGACGCACGGATGGAGTTTTGATTCTGAGTTTTCAATCTATTTCCTGTCTCTGTAGAGCGGCGTTGCATGCCTATATTCGGACTCATATTAAACGGAAAAACGTTAGCTCGTGGCTTGAACTCAATACTCCGGTGCGCGTCGTATACGTGTTCCATAATACGACCAGAAAGGAGTTTAAACTTCAATACATGGTGCTCTTTTCTTGATCTCTTCGCTCATTTTTAACTGTTGTTTCGACATATCTTAAAGCAATTACATTTTTAAAACTTTCCTATTCTGAGTTGAACCTAAGATTTATTTATTTATTATCTCAATACAACTATTATTAAAGGATTAACCTAATGCAATAGTGTAGTAATATTTGTTTATTACTATTTACCTATACTAGGACAATACATCATAATATTTCTACAATACATCGATACTGAAAACATCGACAAAATGAATACAACACTATTTGTTGCGGGCGGAGTCGTCGCCATATATGAGACACACTTGGCTTCCGATCACGTGACCATATTTCATATTCCCTATTTTTCTTATAATATATCAATGCGTAATACGCTGTCGTAGAAATATTTTTCGATAATATGGAAGATATTTACTTAGATTCTTAATCGGCTACATTTTTATCAACATCCTTTAACTCCTTGAGCTTATTAAAATGAATATAATAAGCATCGGTGCCAGTATCTTCAGTTAAAGTTTGTTATTTAAGTAATTATCTATAATTTGTTATTTTATTTTAATTAATCCAAAGTTTTATATTATGCCAACAAAAAAAATATTAGTTGTACATTTTTAGTTAATATGCTGCACTGCCTTGTTGGGCTTAAAATGACTTCCCTTGTTTATTGTTCGACCTGCTTTAGAAAATATCCGTTCACAGGACACGCTGGTAATCTTATTTATAACACATATTTTATGCCGCATTAAAGTATATAATCTTGGGTAATTATTATTTTTATACATGACAAATCAAAAGTATATTTTCTACCAATTAACATTTTTTGTAATAGCGCCATCTACTTCATTCTTAAAGTTATGTCATTTTATCAAACCAAAATTGATTGACTCCCACTACACGTAAATTATTAAATCAATATCAATATAATAATAGATATTAAAAATAAACAAATTTATTAAATAGATAAAATATATAATAATGTTGAATAAAATTATCATGTTTGTCCAATCCATTCATAACCATCCATGATATCAAAACTTACCGATTAATATTACTTCTTTTTCGTTTACTATGTACCACCTTGAGAGTCAATCAGTTTTTGTTATGATAAAATGACTTTACCAATAGAATATAGTCGATGGCGTTATTACTTGGCTACTGCTGCGTGTGCGCTGCATACGTGTTTTTGTTATCTATACAATAATTAATATTGTGTCAAATGCGATCACTCTTTCTAAAATAAACACGTTGGTATCTGTTTTAAATAAAATTAATATAACATACATAATTTAAGCCAAGATACTGCAGACTACGCGTCAGCCCCGGATCTAGGGGGGCAAGCCGGGGCCTATGCCCCGGGCGGCAAGTTCAGAGGGCGGCCAAATTCACACTTTACAGACGAATGGACAACTCGTCCTTTACTTAACTTTGAGCACAGAATAAATAATAGTACGAGTACAGAAATTTCACTCTTGTTTTACTGCGGCAATATCAACTCGACCGATACCCAGGGACACAGCACACGGACCATGTGATCGGGCGCGACGAGAGCGCGGAGTGAGACGCGCTCCACGAACATTATTAGTAGGCATAGTTCAAAATTCGGGCCCGCTCGCCCGGAGGAATCGCAGATCGCGGCAGCACGCGTCTGGTTACCGTGCGTGCGAAAGGGATGAAGCTATATTCGAAAACTCCCTCGTCGATCTCTTCAGTGTTTTGTATTAAACATTTGTTTATGTTTATTATTTACTAAAATTTAGTACTTGTCGATCAACCGAAGGGAAAATACTGATTGTATTAGTGTCGCATCAATAAATCTATCACAGCTCATCGATCGCCTTTCTAGGTAAGTATTTTATCATAACTATCTTATGCTTTTTAACTTCCTATATTTATTTTTTAAATTCAATGTAATACGTGCAATCACTTACGTCGTCAATTCGTTGTTATTTAAACTATTTCTTAAAATTTTTACGTCGTGTTTTGTTTATTACACGATGGCAGCCATCGGATGACTGAGAAGTAAAACAGCCTTTTTATTCCAGCTATTAATTCAATACAATGCAATGCAGCAGTTTAACCCTTAAATGCATAATGTATCAAAAACGATACGTTGAGATTTTTTAACTAAAACTTAAAGCCAATTGTTTGTTTTTATTAGGCTGTATGTTACGATGCCCTTAGACTATTTGTCTATCGGAAAAAAAAAACAAAGTTTCTCGTATTGGTCCACCATATTTGTTTCGTAGCTGTCAAAAGTATTCTTGTCAGCGAGTGAATGTTTTTGTGAAAAATTCTAACTTTATCCAGACGAATCGGAGTGGATTTGAGACAAATTATATCAAAAAAAATATACAATGTCAAGGTAAGTGTTTGTGTTTATAGTAGGTTTATGTATTTTTTACGAAAAATTGATTTCTCTCATAAACAAAAGAGTTTTTAGTTTGTATCGAAAATGAGACACCATGCACTTAGGCATAAAAAATATTTCTATGCATGTTGATGATTTTCGCGTTTTTGTTTTTATTTACGCTTCTTTGAACTTTACAAATTTGTTGCAGAACTACAAGAAAGAAATTGAAAGACGATGATATAGAAAATATGCTAATGCGGTTAGAGGCTGGCGAAATTTCAGAAGACGATGCCGAATCAGATGAGGATGACTTGGATTTCTATCCGTCTCGCAAAGATCTACAAGCCGTACTCGAAGATAAAGAAGTAAGTGATGAAGAGGAAGTGCCTGAAACTGAAGAATGCCCGGATCCTCCCCTGGTTCATGAAGAAATCTATCAACAAGCTTCGACTTCTCGGTCTAATGTATTTCCGCAAATAAATACACGAAATTTGATTTGGAAAAAACGCTCTTTGGAGTATAAAGAGGAATCAATTGCTTTCTTGGGTAGTACAGAATTAGGACCTGAACTAATGAAACTAGAAACCCCACTGCAGTTCTTTTCACAGTACTTTTCAGAAGACTTGTTGAAAAAAATTGTTGAAGAAACCAATAAATATTCGACGCAGACCAATATTGATCGCCCCGTTCAAATAAGCCTTACAGAACTTCGAAAATATTTGGGAATATTGATATTCATGTCTGTCTATCGCTACCCAAGCGTTAGATCGTATTGGAGCAGTAAATTTGGATTTAGACCAATAATAGAAGCAATGCCTGTCAACAAATTTGAAAAAGTAAGAAGCATATTACATTTCAATGATAATAATTTACACAAACCAGTTGGTAGCCCCGACCATGATAAACTTCACAAACTAAGACCCATTATAGATCATCTGACAATGAAATTTTCTAGTGTTCCAATGGAACAACGCCTTTCAGTTGACGAACAAATGTGCGCAACAAAAATCAGCCATTTCTTGAAACAATATTTACCCAATAAACCCCACAAGTGGGGGGTTCAAGCTTTTTGCGTTGTGTTCCTTGGCAGGATATTGCTATGATTTCATAATATATAGTGGAACAGACAAAGAACCAATGCGTAGTAATGAACCTGATATTGGAGTGACCGGTAATACAGTAATAAAGTTAACTAGAAGAGTCCCAAGAATGATGAACCATGTAATATACTTCGATAACTATTACACTTCATTACCACTAATGTATTACATGGCGAAGGAAGGCATATGGTGCTTAGGTACGGTGCAGCTAAACCGTCTAGGAAAGTCTTGTAAGTTGCCTAAAAAGAAAGAAGTAATGAACAGTAATGTACCCCGAGGATCCTACGTTGAAAACACGACAAGTCTCGATGGTGTGGATTTTTCTGCGATCAGTTGGAAAGATAACAAGCAGGTGACCTTACTTTCCACTTATATTGGCGCTGAACCTGTAGAAACGATTGAAAGATATGACAAAAACCAAAAGAAAAAGGTGCCCATACCATGTCCAAAAATAATAAAGGAATACAACGCACACATGGGTGGAGTAGACCTCATGGACTCTTTCCTAGGCAGGTATCACATAAAAGTAAAGTCTCGGAAATGGTACATGCGAATTTTTTACCACTTACTCGACCTATCAGTAATTAACTCCTGGATATTATATAAGAAAGTCTCTGCTAAAAAGAATTTGAACCCTAAGCAGGTTTTGAATCTGGCAGAGTTTAGAGCTGAATTGGCGGATGCTCTCTGCAAATATGGCGAACATGTTGTACCTTCACGAGGTCGACCAAGCCGAAACTTTTCGGAGGAGCCAGCACCTAAAAGGAAAAACATCCAGCAGGTAATGCCCTCGAGAGATGTTCGGTACGATGGAGTGGATCATATTCAATCGAGGCAACAAAATCGTATGAGGTGCATGAACCCAGGCTGCAAACTGCTGAGTAGTATTATGTGTCTAAAATGTAAGGTGTATTTGTGTTCTAACAAAAAAACAACTGACTGTTTTAATGATTTTCATCTATAGGACATATTTTTGTGATCATTTGGTTGCACATTAGTGCTTTGCAATAATTAACAATAAGTCAATTAACGGAAGTAGTACACAATAGAACTGAGAATAAAATTGTAGTTTTTTGCATGTTGTATCAAAAATGATACCAGAATATTTTTCAAAATAAAACTAATTATATTGAATAATGATTTTTTATTTTATTTTTTCCAGCATCTATAAACCATTTTACACAACATATAATTTTTCCAATGATATTGGGTATGTCATGCATTTAAGGGTTAAAACGAATAAGCAGCCGTTATTATATATTATATCGACGGCGCGTAGGTACCTATTAGTGATGGATTAATTAGCATTAGCATTCATTATTAGCATGCGAATGCTCATTTAGCATTTAACAAATGAAATGTAGTTGCGAAATTCTGTGAAGTGCGAAGTGAATTAATCGTTTCGTACTTCGTTCATAGTTCATACTACACGCGGCACTCAGCGAGACAGCGGCAGCATGCGCTCTCCGTCGCACCCACAGGAATACTAAATCTATCTGTTTCACGTGACCCTGACTTTTAGCAGGTGCATTTGATGCGAAGAATAAGGTTAGGCAATTATTATCTTATTATCTTTGATTTGCTCGTACTTAGGGTCGTATATTGTATGAATGCGTGTGATCGTTTAATTCGTTAAAGTTATTAGCAGGGTGATGCGAAGTATGGGATTGAGTAAATTATTACCTTATTATCTTTGGTTTGCTAGTATTTAAAGTCGTATATTGAATAAATGCGTGTGATTATTTAATAATAATTTGTGTGACACGTGGGTGGCGCGCGTCGTATTGTATAAAATGTTGAATAAATTTGTAAATAATGTACATTATATGTAAAAACTAAATCATGTAAATACGATCAAGTGAACTTATAAATACGCCAGTTTATAACATTTTACTGCTAGTTCTAAGCCTGGATAAAGTATGAATGAAGGTTCACAAAAACTTAAACATCAAAAGGTTTTAAATTAGTTAAATATCTTTAATTATAATAATATGATCATTCATTATCTTAATCACAACACAATGCAAGTGTACTAGTAGAAATAAAACGTTATCGGCGAGGAAACTAAACGCACGGTAGGACTCGACGTCCTCCTTCCTTCATAAGCCGAACGCGCTCTTAATTCGTATAATAACAAAATTCATATAATTATTTAGGTAATATCAATTATAGTTATATTAGCAAATAGCATAGCAATAGCAATTAGCACGCTAAGGCTCAAGAATTCGCATGCTAATGAAATTTATGCAAAATCGCATTAATTACCATTACTAGTACCTATAACTCGGGTGGTTGCCACGCGATCGCGCGCGCTCCGCGATATCATTACGCCGCTCGTAAATTGTAGTGTAACGCTCCAACAAACCAAAAAACCGACAAAAATCGGGGAACGACTCGCGAAACAGGCGCGAAGCCGCGAAGAATACGCGAAATGGTTCTACACTCACGGTTTGCGGGTGGTTCGCGGCTGTCGCGCGGAATGGCTACAAAACAAGTATTTTTCCGTCCGTCTGTCCGTTACAGCCTGTTATAGTTCACTGCTGAACATAGGTGCCTCCCCCATAGATTACCTCATAGCGGGGATATTTGCCATAGTTGCCACCCTTGGAAATTGATTATTTTTGTTTACATGTTGTAATTATGAGCGCGCCAAGAAAAAAGCTATCGGGAGCGGAATATAGGAAAAGGGCTAAATATAAGGAGTTGCAGGGAAAACAATGTGCAGATAATATGAAAAATTGGCTTCTCAGAGGGGGTGACCCGTCAGTATCTGCTGCAACGTCCGAAGTTGATATTCAGTTAGAGGATGTTTCTCGCACTTTGCCCGATCAAACGGATCAAGATTTTTCACAGTCCGATTTCACAGTGCAAACTTCACCATCTTTATCGATGTGCGGAGAACAACTTGAAAAAACAAAGCCAGAATACGAAGGATCTAAATTCTAAGACAAAAAATGCAATATTTTGTGCGTGCTGCAAGATTTACCAGAAACCGTCTTTTACCGCCACATCTGCATTGTGTTCTACAGGATTTATTAATTGGAAAAAAAGTTTCAGAGAGATTAACCGAACACGAAGCAAGTCAAATGCATAAAGAGTGTATGATCAAGTGGAAAACACGGGTACAACAAATGAAATCATGCCAGGGTATTGATCAAGACATTGAGAGAGTAATTCAATCAGAGAAAGAAAAATGGAGATAGATCCTGCGTATTGTTATGGATGCTGTATTGTATCTATCCATAAACTGCCTTTCTTTTCGCGGGTCCCACGAAACTCCTAGCGATCTCATCACACAGTGTCCTCGGCCTAGTCAAGGTAACTTCTTGAACTTAATTTCTCTGCTCGCCAAACATAATTCAACTCTTAAGTTTCAATTAGAACACTTAAAAAAAGGGACACATATCATATTTATCAAAGACAATACAGAATGAAATAATTGACATAATGGCAAAAACAGTTAAAAATAGCATTTTAAATGACATCAAAGAAGCCAAATACTACACGATAATGTTCGACTGCACTCCAGATGTATCCCATACAGAACAAATGAGCCAGGTAATTCGATATGTAAAAAGAACTGGCGATGTGTGTGAAATAAAAGAAAGTTTCATTGATTTCATAGAAGTTGCTGGAAAGACAGGAGAGGGCATTTGTCAACAGATTTTAGAAAAATTGGTAGCTGATGATTTAGATATTGGACAATGTCGTGGCCAATCTTATGATAATGGGTCCAATATGGCCGGCATCCATAAAGGAGTACAAGCCAGGATTGCAGAAAGGAATGAGCTGGCCGAATTCGTACCGTGCTTGGCTCACTCCCTAAATCTTGTAGGTGTTCATTCTGCCTCATCATGCCAGGAAGCTATTAACCTATTTGGACTGATTCAAAAAGTATATTGCTTTTTTGTTGACTTGGTGGGAAATAACGAAAAAATACGTTAAAACAAATTTAAAAGGAAGTAGTTAGACACGATGGTCGGCGAAATATGTTGCTGTGAATGCCCTATTAAATAATTTGCCAGAAATAGCGGAAGCCTTAGAAGAAGTTAAGCAAGCTTCTCATGCTCCAGAAGCTAAGTACGAAGCAGGTCATCTCTTAACTGCTATAAAGAATTTTAAATTTATTCTTAATTTAACTATTTGGGCGAATATTCTCCGCGAAATCAATCGAGTGAATATAGAAATTCAGAAAGAAGATATTATCCTTGCCCGTTCCGTCGCACTAATGGATGGTTTGCTCAAAACTTTGCAAAAAATGAGACAAAATCCAATGGAATATTGGATAAAAAGAGGCTGGAGAAGTTGCTGAAAAAAGTGGTGTTGACCCTATATTGCAAAACAAACGAATTCCGAAACGTAAAAAACATTTTGATGAGATGTGTGAAGACGAATTACATACACTGCAACCTGTTCAACTACTTTCTAATGAAATAATGATGGTATTTGATCGAATCATATCAGAAATTAAAAAGAGGTTTGATTGTGCTACCATGCTGAATTTGAATTTTGCTTTTCTTAATGGTACTAATATTTTGAGAATGTCAATTGAAGAATTGCAAAAGTATGGAGCAGATTTGGCTCGAAAATACGAGCGAGATTTAAGCTCCGTTGAATTCTGCCAGGAACTCTACGTTTTAAAAGAGCAAGCTCCGCTTTTATTTGGTGATATAGAAAAGGCTAACAGTTTCTATCTCTTGCAACAGATCTATGCGCATGATTTGCAGGATGCTTTTCCTAATATTTGTATTGCCCTGCGAATTTACTCTACGCTTCCTACTACATCCGCAAGCTGTGAGCGAAGTTTTAGCAAACTAAAACTAATTAAAAATTATTTGCGATCTTCTATGAGCCAGGAACGCTTATCAAGTCTTGCAATCTTAGCCATAGAAAATCAAATTGCCCACGAGTTAAATTATGACAAGGCCATAGATTTATTTGCTGAACAAAAAGCTCGAAGAGTAAAATTGTAATTTTAATTAACAAATGCAATAATATATTTGATTTTTATTTTTATTATACATATTTTTATTTTAAATCCTATCATGTGCTGTGTATAAAATACATATCCTACATGTTCATGTCTATATATCTGTAAATAAATAGACTTAACACAGAAAGAACAGCGATGGATGAATTATTTCCGGAAGGCCTATGTCCAAACGTCAATCAATTAGTGGACATCTGATAGCTGAAATTATAGACGATAAAGGTAAAAATAAAAATAAGTGTGCGAGGGCGGCATTTTTTTCAGTTTTTGCCCCGCCTAAAAAAAATTGAAGATCCGGGGCTGCTACGCGTTTGTATGTGACTTTAAGATAATCATAAAAATTACTTAAGTTACAATTTTACAAAACTGTTGTCTTTCGTGGTGGTACATGTTAATAAAATACGAAAACTGACAATTTATTTTAGTACCCGGTTGATAGAGCTTTGCTCGGTATTTTTCGCTCCGTTTTTTTTTAATTCGTGTGTTTTGGAAATTATATTTAGATACAAATTACATACTGATGAAATACGAATAATATTTTTTGATCTTAGCGACATAATAAAAAAACTGAACTGGTTATTTGAATAAAAAATCATGAGTGCAATTGGTTTAATTTAAATTTTCGTGTTTTTAAAAAATACTATAAAAAGGACTCGAAAAAATAGATTTTCTCAAAAAAGAAAGGAACTTGAAAAAATTTTAAAAAAAATCGGTCGGTCATTCTGGGCTCGAACCATGGTATTACGATTTTGTGACTGCCTAATATACCAATTAAGCTATTTGTAATCATTAATAAACTGTCAAAATTTACCTTCTTATTCTAACGATATTGTAGCAGTTTTTCATTGCCTAAATTCACGGACAAAAAGACATTTTCTAAAAATAAACCCTAGCTAGATCGATTTATTGCTCCCTAAACTCCCTGGACACTAAATTTTATGAAAATCGTTGGAGCCGTTTCCGAGATTCCGATTATATATATATATATATACACACACACACACACACAAGAATTGCTCGTTTAAAGGTATAGGATTTTGTTGAGAGGTAAAATAACGAATTTGTTTGTTTGAACGAAAGACTGTTGTAATCATGAATTGAATTACTATATAATTTATGGTACGTAATGACCCGCGTTCACGATTTGAATGATCGACCTGAATGAACCGGTACGTTGTGTTTGTCCCCCACCACTTTTCATCACACTAAAAAGTTTAGGATCAGAAATCCAACCCCTCCCGTAAAAAGTTTCACTTCAAAGATTATAAAACAATTGAGATAACACACAATATGAAATAAAATGTGTTCCATCACAATCTATGTCAAAAAATCAATATAAGTTTCTAATTTTACTCATTCATAGTCTCTCTTTAGCATGACTAATTCTGAAAAACTATTACGGCTTAAGTGTGACAAATGTACCTTCATTACGTGCTGCTTGAGGTCACTGATTTTTCTGAATTTCATGTTGCATAAAGAGCAGTCCACTTCGATCTTCCTCTCTTGGTGTTCCAGCCACATGTGGTCCCATTTCTCCTTCAAGCTCCCTAACCTCTTCTTGCATATCATACATGCATAATACCTGCAATCGCGCATGTGTTTGTACTTTAAGTGTCTTTTCAACTTTGATCCGGTAGAAAATGACATGTCACACTGTAGGCAAGAGGCGGGCGGGCGTGATTCGTGCATCTGAAATCAAAGGCAGACATTAAAACGTATAATTGTTTAACAGTGTTTAGTTTTATACACACTATTTTAGTTTTATTATCTAGACTATGACAGTGTGTCAGTCAAGTTTTTTTTTGCTTCGTGTTTGACCATAGTCCCACCTGACGATAAGTCGTTATGTAGCCCTAGATTGTCCACTCTTTTGATGTACGCACTACAAAGAACACATCTTGTGTTGACATTTTATACGTGTGAATTGACCGTGTTAGTGAAACTTTAGTGGCTACGCGGGCTCCGCCCACTCCCCCGTTCTATCATGTATGTATTACAGTATCCTATTGTATTTACATTAATATCAGCACTGTATACAACATATTGAAGAATGTACCGGTTTCTGGTGATAAAATGTGAGGTGGGCGACTGAAATCTGCTGCAGCGTCATAGTTCATTGTTTCACTGTAAGATAACCAAATACGTATACGATATTACGATAAACCAAAAAACGAGAAAATTTGTATGAGACGTTTCGGACCAAACCGCAAATGAAAAAAAAACTGAAAGACCCAGTTGTATGTAGTTTACACTTAAAGGTTCTAGGCTGATCAGTCATTATGCTATGGCAAATATTTGTACAAACTAACTGTAAATGATCCAAATTATGACGCTTATTTTTAAGAATGCCTTGTGACGAGTGACACCAACGACAATAGAATAGCCAGATGTTATTGAAAGCCATGCGGGTAGAGGGGATTGTGTAAGGGACTGACTTTTTTTTAAATGTATACTTTCTCAGCATAGTATATAGTTTGTACATAAAAGAGACACGAATAGGTATTTTTGCCCGCTTGAGCATCTGAATATGTATATATTATGTGGCAAACACGTGCATATTATGTAGAATATGATGACTCTTACAATTGTGACATCACAGGAACGGTGATACTTAGAGAAAAATCATAAAGACCATTTTTGTAGAGAATTTTAAGATCTACAACTTTGGTCTTAAGTATTTTTGTGATAAAATTTACCGTTTTCGAGAAAAATCCAAAAAAACCTGAAATTTGACCTTTGACCCGAACAACTTTCTGAGCTCACATGGGATTGATGGGGACTTTTAAATTTTTATTCTTTAGGGTAAGCCTTAGGTCTCCACCAAAATTTGGCTCTGTCGAAATTTTTGTTATTTGACCACAATTATTATGTCTAAATCGACCGGACTATTGTGTTGCTGAGTCATTAAAATTGGTTACAATTGACGAATATATCGCGTAACGTACATAAAAAATACATACTTGCAAATGGTCAATTAGGCACTTCTTCAGGTGAAATTTTTTACCACACTTGTCACAGATAAATGAATAAAGATTGTGCACTTTCACATGTTTGCAATAGTTGCTTTTGTCACTGAAGGTTTTGGCGCAAATTTGGCATTTATGTATGGCCATGGAAGCATGCTCCCTCATGTGCTCCTTATATTTAGCTGGATTGTTCTGGTCAGCGCCGCAGAGCTGGCACAGTAACTGGTTGTCGTCTTTTACTTTAGACCTTAACGCTTGGAAGAGAAGGTGCACGATAAAATGCCGCTTGCAATCTCTTGGTCTACGAAAGGTTTTGTTACAGACAATGCATTTTCTGGGCATATTAGTTGTTTTCTTTATTAAGAGCATATCTGAAAAGTTGTATTTCATTTACTGAGATATTTACATACAGCATATTATATATTATATATACCCCACACCCCACAGCTGGGTACAGCTGTAGCAAATACATTTAGTAGTCTTCGTGTAATAAGAAAATTAAACACTTATACTTCAAACAATTAAAACTAATAAAATAATTTTCACATAATCGCTTTTGCAGTGGTTGCTAAGACAATGTATAAAATAATAACTACCCCCGACTTCGGAAGCTATTGTATGAAAATTATTTTATAACTTTTGCTTTTACAAGTCGGCTTTTACATTTTATTAAGTTCACTAGTGGTCCGCCCCGACTTCGCACGGATGATTTTTGGATCTCGAAAATATATTCATGTAATATACAAATAAACCTTTCTCTTGAATCATTCTGTCTATTCTAGAGTACGAAATCCGTTGCGTAGTTTAAATGATCTAAGCGTACAGCGGGCGGGAAGCCACTTCTTTATACTATTTGGAAATTTCTTGACTCTTGAGTGAATCAAGGAATGTAACATGCACAAAGTAACAACTAAAATATAGTCTAATGTAGCAAAAATTACATTAAAAACCTCTATTTTCACAACCTTTAGGGTGGAAATTCAATATAAGCTATTTGATTACCAAGTGGTAAATTTTTATACGTGGTAGAGCCATGCTACAGTTATATTATGATTGTTGCACGAATGGGTCAGCTCGACCAGGGAAGTAACATGCTCTCACAGAATACCAGCGTAAAATATCAGCTTAATATTGCTGTTTCGTATAATGAGTGTAGAGATCAGGTGACTCTTTCCTACTAGAAACGAGGCATTCCATTTTAGTCCTCACGGGTGACAACGCATCTGCATTTTGATTCATAATCGAGGATAGATGTAGATGTCTATGGTCCGCAGCGTTCACTTACCATTAGGTGGACTGTGTATTTGTTCGTCACCCTTATTGTATAAAAAAAATTTACAATTGTACAACCAACTTCAATGTGAATACAATGAGAATATCATCAATGTATTCGAAGCCTGTAAAAGTGAACACTACTGCTGGACATGGACCTCTCCCAGTGCAGGAACCATTTGCCTTACTCCTCACACTTGACTGGCGAATTGAAGATCATAACCAGACGTGAGCACCTTTGACAGAGTTGACTCGCCGCCTCGGGTCTTTAACGTCTGGCGTACATGGGATGGTACATGAGAACTGCCATCTATCAGAAGCCATAATTTTTTCTAGCATTTTCCGACATGATCTTCAAGCAACTAAGCAGATTTTCTTGAATCATAGCTAAGAACACTCTCGATTAAGTCATGTTCCAACCAAAATCAACTAATTCAAAAGGTAATTGATAGAATCAGACGTTACTTTGTGGAAATCCATTATAATAAAGATATTAATAGTTACTGATTTCTTATATTTACGCGAACACTACACATGATTAAAACTACTTTTACGGATTTTATCGTGTTTATATATATATAAACGCGCAACGAAAAATATAAACGCGATAAAATCCGTAAAAGTAGTTTTAATCATATTGATAGTTACTTTGAAACCATCCGCTAAATTAAATAAAATGATGTGTCTTACCTAGTTTGAAGAGCACCTCCTGGCCTCCCTCAAATGCGTGCACTAATCCCACTACCTACAAACCCAGCACCACTACTCCCAGCACTACTACTTCCAACACCACTATTCCAGGAAAGACACACCATCGACGACAATACGACACGTGTTTCGCCTCTTCACGAGGCATCTTCAGGTGATGTTGACTCTACGGCAGCTGACCGCTAAGTCCTTAGCGCAATTGAGGGAGGCCGGGAGATGCTCTTCAAACTATGGAGGACACTTCATTTTATTTCATTTAGCAGATGGTTGCAAAATAACTATTAATATCTTTATGAAATCAAAAGGTTTGTTCGTTTGACCGGCAGACACAGAAACATACGTTAAACTTATAACAACCCTCTGTTTCCGTCGGAGGTTAAAAAGGAGTTATATGTAAAATAAAGGACAGTACCTAAGAGTTCTTTTGTAAGGTTGGAGTTCATTTCCGCTTCATCATCACTATCTTTGTTATCATCTACTTTTCTCTTATCATTTTTTATTTTCAAATGCAAGTCCCAATGAATGAAGATTTGTTCTGATTTAATAATTTTCTTGCATTCAATACACTGAAGGATATCGTTCTTTTGTGAAGGTGATAGATCCATGTTTTGTACATCTTGCGACTTCATGTAGAAGTTTGTTAAGTGTGAAATTATGTGTGAGCACAACCTCGAGTCCTCGTTAAACTGCCGTTTACAATTGGGACATGTTAAAAATTTGTAATTATGGCGTGTTAAATGGTGCACGTAAAGTTTTAAAGTCGAAAAGACTGTAATACAAGTTGAACAATAAAAAGACATAGCAACGCAATTCGAAGTTATGTGTTCAATATAATCATTGTAGCACCCTCGAAACGGACACTTTTTACATGAATAGAAGACTTCAACATTTACAATAGATACATTATGTTTCTTTTTAATAGGTTCTCTCGAATCCCCCTTATCTGATACTCCTCTAACAGCATATTTTTTTAAGTTTTCGATACATTTCCTCTTTGCTAGCTGCTTATTTTCGCCACACGATAATGCAGCATCACATACTGGACCTTTCATCCCGATAATATTAACCTTGTCATAATGTACCTCTTGTGGACATAACGCAGTTTCATCACCTGAATAAAACATAACTATATCATCTATTGCCTCTACTTTTATTTCAGTTGTATGATTCAAATTAAATTCTACATCTTGTGGATATGATGCATTTGAATCATCACTTGAATGTGACATAATTATTTCGTCTTCTCGTTCATCTTTCACACCAGGACTATGATGCAAATTTAATTCTGTATCTTGTAGACATGAAGCGTCCCCTGGTTCTTCTTTTACTTCTATACTATGCCTCATACTACAATCTTTGTCTTGTAGGTATGAGGCATACGTGCCATTGCCCAGACCCGAAATCTTTATATTAACATGTTTTGGTTTATTTTTCACATTAGTTCCTAGTTCCGTATTGCGATCCTCGTTATGTGGACATGTCACATTATCTTCTTTTTTTCTTTTGGCAATAATAGATTGACCTGAATGAGATTCTTTCACCACATTATAAGTTTCTATTTCAGAATTATCTTTTGCAGTTAAAGTGTCAACTTTTTCGTTATGTTCTGGATGCGCTTCTATTGTACCATCTTTCCGACATGAAATATTTGCATCATAGTTTGGTTCTTCCTTCACTTTCGTATTAAAATTTGTATTAGATTCTTCTCTTTCTATAGAGTTTATAATTTTAACATTGTCTTCTACAAATTCTTTAGAGTTCTCATTCTTGTTTTCGTCATCAGAATCTGATATTATTGTTACTTCATCAGAGTTGTTTAGAAGCATAAGGTCATCATCATCATTATCATCATACACATTATCCTCCAAAGGTTGTTCTGTTTCCTTTTCCTTGAACCTCCGATAGCAATTGGATGTTTTGAAAACTTTAGATATGGCTGCATCCATTTCAACATATTTTTGTATTTCTGCATCTAATTGTTCTTGCAGTGTATTTATTTCACATTTTTCACTTTCATTTGGCGAAACTGGCACAGGCCCACCATCATCTAAGATTATAATGTCGTCATCGACTTCTTTGGAATTACTTCCACCATCTTCTAATCCACTCATAAAAACTTCTAAATCTTTCTCTGCAAATAAAAGTAAGAAAGATTATTGTAAAACAGCCAAAAATATTGTTCACATTAAAAATGAGAAAAGTAGTTGAAGAGTACGTAAGAGTAACTGTAACCTGCAACTGCTGCTATACCCCTGGTATGTTTCCCTATGTTGCCTCTTACGACACGCACGGAACGATATGGTGTATGGATAATCTTACATCACCACTACACGTCAAATCAAACGTCAACACCCAGATCGGCGATGAGGAGCAGCGTGAGAGGAGTTCACGTCTGGTACTGCAAACGATTAAAGCAAATCCTATATGCAACAGGAGACTTATGTCCAGAGGCGACCTCTTACTGGATAATGATGAAGATTGAAAAGTATGAAGGAGAGACAACAATGGTAAATATCCACCAATCAATCTATGGAGGATGTTCAGTTGTATTTTGACAAACTGTAATCGGCTCCGTAGCGAAGTTACTTAACGATGGGTTGCAGCGCTAAGGGCCGCAGGTTCAAATCCCGCACGGAACAAGTATTTTTACGGCCTAAAAATAATTGTTCCGGGAAAGTTTGTCCTTGTGAAATTTATGTATGTAAACTGCCCCCCAGGATACAGAAGAAATCCTAGTACGAAAGTAACATTTTTTTTTGTGAATAAAAAGTTCAATCGGTTGATTCTAACAAGGATCCATCCGAAATAGGTACATTACAATATTATGAACTATATATATATATATATAATAAGCACTGTATTTTTTGACGTGACAACGTCTAATAAATCAACGAACACCGGCTGCATGCACGAAAAAGGATGACTCATTGTCCCGTTACGCTTCAGCCGAGCCGATCACGATCGGAGCGAGAGCGCAAACACAGGCACGATCGACTATTTTATTCATAAAAGTATGCAATCATTTAATCTACGTTTTGTTATGACGTTTTCACGTTACACTATTGTCCGTAAACCGGCTTTACAGACAACCAATTTTTTTATAGGATAGGGTGACAAACGAGCACACAATCCACCTTATGTTAAGTGGATGCTACGGCCCATAGACATCTACATCTATCCTCGATTACGAATCAGAATGCAGATACGTTATCACCCGTGAGGACCAAGATGTAATGCCTCGTTTCCAGTGAAAAGGGTCTCCGGTTTTCTACACTCACCATACGAAACATAGCAGCATTAAGGACGCGTTTTCAAATCAACCAAAATTAGGGTGTTTTTCGGTACATTTTGTGACAAAACTAAACCAAATCAAATATAAGTAAAAACTACCATGTATAGATTGGTTCTTCATCTGCAAACATCTGTAACTCTATTGTTGAAAATAGTAGTTTTTTATATTGTAAAAACGAACTTTCGTTGCCATTTTCTACAAAATTAACGATACCGGCTTGTGTTTCGGTACATGTTTTGGTCTATTATCAACATATTTAAAAAATTTAAAAAATACTATAAGATGACAGACATATTCAATTAAAAAAACCCTGGGTTTATTTTTTAACAAAATGTCACAAATAGTCGTAAAAAAAATATAAACTGATGCACATTTTTTCACATATTTTGGTAATACTGTTACGCGCTCCAGTCAACGATACACTAGCGCCATCTAGTGTCAGGAACGAGAGCGAGGGGAGCATTGAGAAAATGACATCACAAATTACTCAACCGACAGCGCCTAGTCGAAACTCGAACGCTCGGTACCTTGCCCGTGTTTACTTGAACATTCTGGATATTTCTTTGCTAATTTAAATATATAGGCGCTGCAAGATGCGATCGAGGCAGTGTTGATTTGGGCGAAACAAGCGAAGCTTCGGAGTGGAATTAAGTGGATTAGTGTGTTTAAATTATTAGTGTTTTTAGTTTTAATTTGTGTAAAGTAAATTAAAGTGTTAATTTTGGTAATTCTATCGGCAATTTTTATTGTCACGAACCCTAAGCTCGTAACAATTGGTGTCAGAAGTGGGATTAAATCATGCCGATTTTACCTAAGGAGGAAACGGAGGGTGTCCGTACCCGAAGTCAACGCCAGCAGGAGACGGACCAGAGGAGGTTTGGTGGTGCAACGCCGCAGACGTCGGAGGGCCAACAGCTAGCCACGGAGACTGCGGGCCCGTCAGTAGCTCCTACATCTGCAGCACCTGACTTAGGTGCTCTGATGGCCATGCTACAGGAGCAGCTGCAGCGCGGACGAGAGGAACAGGCCCGTCTGTTGAAAGAGCAGCAGGAGGAACAGGCTCGCCAGCAGGCGGAACAGGCCCGTCTGTTGAAAGAGCAGCAGGAGGAACAGGCTCGCCAGCAGGCGGAACAGGCACGCCGATTGGAAGAGCAGCTGCGGGACGGACAGGAGGAACAGGCCCGTCGGTTGGAAGAGCAGATGCTCCTCATGAAGGACCTTCACGCTACCTTCGGGAAGGAGATAAAGGAGGTGAAGGATAGGGTTGCTCAGCATGACAACCGCCTGTCGGAAGCCGAAACCCAAATCGTGAAAGCTGAAAACCGAATCGAGAAAGCTGAAACCCGAATCGACCAAGTAAACAATCGGGTTGACAACGTAGTGGCTGACATGAAGAAATCACTAAACGACCTCAAACTTGGGGATGGAACTACAGCTCCCGTAGTAGCTGCAGCACCTTCGCTACATGGATTCAAAGTGCCGCCGTTCGACGGGACCTCTTCCTAGTCGGCCTACAAAATCCAGTTCGAGGCCGTCATGGAGGCGAACGGCTGGAATAAAAGCCAAGCCATGACTGCACTCACCCTAGGCCTGCGTGACCAAGCCTTAACTGTGTTGGAAGCTCTCGGTAAGAAAGTGACCTATGAGCAGCTTCTTGAGGCCTTGGAAGCGAGATATGGCGACGCTCATCTGGAACACGTCTTTCGCGCGCAGCTTAAAGATCGCGTGCAGCGCAGCAACGAGAACCTGCAGCAGTGGGCCCTTGAGGTGGAGAAGATGGTTCGAAAAGCATACCGGTCTGTACCTGCGCTCATTGAAGGGAACCTGGTGCAGACATTCATCGACGGCATCCGCGACCTGGAAGTCAGAGCTGCTGTGAGGCTCGGGCACCACGAGACGCTTAAGGACGCCTTGGCCCATGCACTGGAAGTGGAAGCCGTGCGGCAGGATCATCGTTCCCATCGCGTCAGGGAGGTTGCAGCAGCTACAGTTCGCGACCGCAACAAAGGATACAGCCCAAGGTGCTATGGCTGTGGGGAAAAGGGCCATCTTCGATCCAGCTGCTCTAAACGAACCGTGGAAAGGAGAGTTGATCGATCTCGAGAGGGTAGTGCAGCTAACGGCACTGCCTGGCGGCGACAGGATCATCGTTCACCTCACGCTAGGGAGGTTACTGCAGTTACGGTTCGCGACCACAATAAAAGATACAGCCCTAGGTGCTATGGCTGTGGGGAAAGGGGCCATCTTCGGTCCAGCTGCCCTAAGCACACCCTAGGAAGGGAAGGTGAACGGTCTCAGAAAGGAAGTGCGGCTAACAGCACCGCCCTGCAGTAGCAGGAATACGACTTTACTATCAGACACTGCAGCGGGAAATCTCACGGCAACGCGGATGCATTGTCAAGAAGACCTTGTCCTGAAGATTGCAACCATTGTAGTAGGCAAGAGAGTAAGGAGGTGGTATCCGTGAGGATGCTCAGGACGGACCACCTCAGCAACGAATGGAAGGACAACCTACGACATGCACAGCAGGAAGATCCGGACATCAAGCCGATTCTGGGATGGATGAAGGCCCGTGCTACCAAGCCTAAGTGGAGGGACGTCTCAGCGATGAGTTCAACCACGAAAAGCTATTGGGCCCAATGGGACAGCTTGCTGATTCAGGATGGAGTCCTGTGCCGTAAATGGGACAATGGTCGAAGAGACAGCTGTCGTTTGCAAATGGTTGTCCCTAAAGCTAAAGTGCCGAATGTTCTACAGTTGTGCCATAATGGTCGTTCAATAGTCCACCTGGGAGTTAAACGAACTCTACTGAAGGTCCGAGAACAGTTTTACTGGGTCCATTATCGTGACGATGTCGAGGATTGGTGTCGTACATGCACAAGTTGTGCGGCCGAGCGGGGACCTCGGACACGTAGTAGAGGAGCACCGAAATTGTACAATGTTGGTGCACCACGGGATAGGACAGCCCTTGACATTGCGGAGCCGTTACAGAAAGGCGCAAGAGGGACTCCTAAGATCGTCCATGTGAATCGCTTGGCGCGTTATTATGGGGCCGATAATGCTCGGGACGAGCATGTCTTAGGAGGGGGCAGTGTTACGCGCTCCAGTCAACGATACACTAGCGCCATCTAGTGTCAGGAACGAGAGCGAGGGGAGCATTGAGAAAATGACATCACAAATTACTCAACCGACAGCGCCTAGTCGAAACTCGAACGCTCGGTACCTTGCCCGTGTTTACTTGAACATTCTGGATATTTCTTTGCTAATTTAAATATATAGGCGCTGCAAGATGCGATCGAGGCAGTGTTGATTTGGGCGAAACAAGCGAAGCTTCGGAGTGGAATTAAGTGGATTAGTGTGTTTAAATTATTAGTGTTTTTAGTTTTAATTTGTGTAAAGTAAATTAAAGTGTTAATTTAGGTAATTTTATCGGCAATTTTTATTGTCACGAACCCTAAGCTCGTAACAATACGGATGAATCATAATCTATTGCAATAAGGGCTATTTTATTGTTGGTGCCTGCTTTGATTTATTGTACAAAGATTTCGATGAAACCACAGTCCGCGCTCGGCCGCCGTCGTGAGTGGACACTGTATCGCCTGTTTGCAGCGGCTCATTCTGAAAAGATCGCTGTACATACACAAAATATTAGAAAAAAACAAATTGGAAACATAAGTACTTGACAAGTGATAAAATTATTATTTTTATACTCACAGTTTTTTATTTAGCTAAAAATAAGTAGAATATATAAACTTACCTACTTCTGCAACTCCTGGACGAGCGGAACTAGGTGTGCCGAGTTTGGGCTCGTTTTGTTGGTTATGATGAGACCTTACCTCCGGACTTGATGGCGTGACCTGAAGGTGTACTTTCGTGACCGCTATTTGAACTTCTTGCAGAGTAAAACTAGGGGTGGCGAATTTGGGCTCCGTTTTGTTAGTTATGACGAGTCCATACCGCCGGACTTAATGGAGTGACCTGAAGGTGTAAATCAGTGATTGCAACTGGAACTCCTAGACTGGTAGAACTAGGTGTGCCGAGTTTGGGTTCGTTTTGTAGGTTATGATGAGACCTTACCACCGGACTTGATGGAGTGACCTGAAAGTGTAGTTCGGTGATTACAAGTGGAACTCCTAGACTTGTAGGACTAGGTGTGCCGAGTTTGGGTTCGTTTTGTTAGTTATGATGAGACCTTACCACCAGACTTGATAGAGTGACCTGAAGGGGTAATTCAGTAACTACTGCTGGAATTTCTGAACGAGTAGAACTAGGTGTGCCGAATTTGGGCTTCGTTTTGTTAGTTATGACGAGTCCATACCTCCGGACTTGATGGAGTGACCTGAAGGTGTAAATCGGTGATTGCAACTGGAACTCCTAGACTGGTAGAACTAGGTGTGCCGAGTTTGGGTTCGTTTTGTTAGTTACGATGAGACCTTACCACCGGACTTGATTGAGTGACCTGAAGGTGTAATCAGGTGGTTACAAATGGAACTCCTAGACTAGTAGAACTATTTGTGACGAGTTTGGTTTCGTTTTGTTAGTTACGCCTAGTTCTACTGGTTCAGAAATTCCAGCAGTAGTTACTGAATTACTCCTTCAGGTCATTCCATCAAGTCTGGTGGTAAGGTCTCATCATAACTAACAAAACGAACCCAAACTCGGCACATCTAGTCCTACAAGTCTAGGAGTTCCACTTGTAATCACCGAACTACACCTTCAGGTCACTCCATCAAGTCAGGTGGTAAGGTCTCATCATAACCTACAAAACGAACCCAAACTCGGCACACCTAGTTCTACCAGTCTAGGAGTTCCAGTTGCAATCACCGATTTACACCTTCAGGTCACTCCATCAAGTCCGGAGGTATGGACTCGTCATAACTAACAAAACGGAGCCCAAATTCGGCACACCTAGTTCTACTCGTTCAGAAATTCCAGCAGTAGTTACTGAATTACCCCTTCAGGTCACTCCATCAAGTCTGGTGGTAAGGTCTCATCATAACTAACAAAACGAACCCAAACTCACACACACCTAGTTCACACCTAGTGCACACCTAGTTCTACTAGTCTAGGAGTTCCACTTGTAATCACCGAATTACACCTTCAGGTCACTCTATCAAGTCCGGTGGTAAGGTCTCATCATAACCAACAAAACAAACCCAAACTCGGCACACCCAGTTCCACTAGTCTAGGAGTTCCTGTTGTAATCACCAAATTACACCTTCAGGTCACTCCATCAAGTCCGCAGGTAGGTAAGGTCTTATTACAACTGACAAAACCAGTTCAAAGTCCAGAGCTAACATCTCACTACCAGTAGAGGGCTTCCAGTGCCAAGCAGTCTTTGGAGCAGGTATTCATATTTCGTATCGAAGTATATTTCTGAGGTAGGTATAAGAAATGAAAAACAAATTCAATCTTTCAAATTATCAAAATAATTTCATTTGACTACGATTCACACAGCCAACCGTGCGTACACTAGTGTGTGTGTGACTTTTGTCAATGTAGTAGTGCGATTCTATACCTATCCATTTTGTAAACGCGTCCTTAAGCTACTATTTTACGCTGGTATTTTGTGAGAGGGTGGTGCTTCCCCGGTCGAGCCCACCCATTCGTGCTACAACTAAACTACTAATATAGCTGCAGCATAGCTCTACGACGTACGAAATATATGTGTATACTGTATTCTATCTCATTCTCTCGCAGGCTAAATCCCATGGATGTATACGTTCGTCTCTTTTCAGTGTCGCTTTTACGTTTCCATCGAGATTCAAGTCACAGCTGTCTTAAAGAAGTTTCCACTTCAAAAATTACATAATATTTTTCAGATCAAATGTAGCTTAGATCACTCCTGATATTATTATCTATCTGATCGTCAAGTTACATCACAAATGGTTCTGCCGATTTGAAGATAAACTAAGACAGACAGACAAAAATTTTACTAATGGTTATTCATGTCTTAAAGTTACAGCCTATGACCTTATAATATGGTAGTGTCATGTTGGAGCTATATTAGTAGTATTAGTATAATTGTAGCACGAATGGGTCGGCTCGGCCGTGGAAGGACCATGCTCTCACAGAATACCAGCGTAAAATGCCAGCTCAATGCTACTGTGTTTTGTATGGTGAGTGTAGAGAACCGGAGACCAATTTTATTGGAAACGCGACGTTCCATCTTAGTCCTCACGGGTGACAACGCATCTGCATTTTGATTCGTAATCAAGGATAGATGTAGATGTCTATGGGCCGCAGCAACCACTTACCATCAGGTGGACTATGTGCTCGTTTGTCACCCTTATCCTATAAAAAAATACGTCCCACGGCTGGGCACAAGCCTCGCTCTCATTTCTGAGGCTTTTAGGGCAAGAAAGTGTGCGCCGTGCTTGCAAACTTCACATGTCTTCAAAATATATTTTTTTTTATTTCTGACATTCGGATTTCCTCACGATGTTTTCCTTCACCGCGGAGCATGTGTTAAATTAACACTTAAAATTGCAATTACCAATTTCATTGATGCAGGCGGGGATCGAGCCCGGGTTGCTTGCGTAATATAACTTTACAGCGAGCACTAAGCATCTGAGCTCTGATGTCATTTATTTTAATTAACATTAAATAATTTTAATTGTTAAGTACACAGACCCAATATTAAGCTTAAATATAATATTGTGTTTAATGATAAGATTATATTGTACAATTGTTTGTTATACCATATAAAAAAAGCCTGGTATAAACTTAAAACTCACCAGGAATATAATTGTTTCCGAGTGAACAATCTCTCCCGTAATGTATTTCGTAGGTACTAACATCTGCAAACAAACACAAAACAAAAAAAATCTGTTAGCAAATAAGCCAAAAAAAACATTTATTGTTAACTAGCGACTTGTCCTTGATTCAACTGGATAAGATCAATTAATGTGGCATTATTTATTATTTAGAATAAAGATAATCTTTCTTCTGAAAATGTTCAAGGTTTTTCAGATAATATATAGCTTTTAGATATGACACGTAAATTACCTCCTACGATCAATATAAGGCAACTATTTCAATATAATACAGACAGACAATTCAACTTTGTTCATATTTAAACTTTACTTAACTTCAAGCTTCACAAATAGTGCAGCCCCGGGACTACTTATTTATACACCGGATATGCCTACGCATACCCTCCCCGCGGAAGTAAATACGGGATATGTCGGAATTGCAACGACTTTTACTTGATGGTGTTCCATAGTGTTCCACCTTCGTCGCATATTGGCAGGGGCCACGGGAACGCTTTCGCACACATCAGCAGCCCTACCAGTGCTAGTCACCCCATAGCAGCCTCTACTCGAGAGAGGACAACTCCTCCTCTTTCTCAAGTGAGGCGCACCAGAACACTAGATGCACCTTCCTGTGGCCTCTCCTGAGTCTAGCACGGACAGGCCTTCCTAATTTCAGCGGCGGATCTGGTCTACGGCTCTGCCGGCAATCAAGTTTAGGTCGCGGAGGGTAGGAAGGAGCGGCGCCTCGCGATATCGACACTCTTCCACCACCGCATCAGCGGTGCGGCCCTACTAAAATCTCGAAAGATAGGGCGAATAGAGGGGAGCCCTATGTCAACTTGAACTACAAACCAAGTGGACTTGTACAGCTGGTTAAACAATATTTCCTGAATTCACATTGTGATTAACTATTTTAATATTAATGGCTGAAATCCCCTTAGGCCACTTCATCATCATTACAACATTTGCACAAGGTATCCAAGGAATGAAACGAAATACAGTTCTGAGCCACTAGAATACATACACACACGTACTATTTTGAGACTGCCACTCGAGAACTTTGTTCCCCATCGGTTCTCTGTTCTTCAATGAATATGGTGAGTTTGTTGCCATTAATCTTATTCCACTGCGAATATCTCCATTATAAGTTCTATTATAGGAAGCCCATGGATACAATTATCTCAGGACCTTGCTTTGTGGCATTCCTTGGGGGAAGCATATTTTCAGCAGTGGACTAGTGAAGGGCTGTGATGATGATTATTATTATTAATGGTGGTGGTGGTGGAGGAGGAGAAGGGATACAATGTGGTGATAGTGATCAAGTTGTTGAAGTTCTATCAAGTTGAGAAAATCCAAGCATAGACCTTTCTATAGTGCTGAACGACATTGGTCTTCCTCAAATAGCCCTATACCATGTTTCAGAAATATAATTCATCACTATAAAATCTGTTGAATCTGTGTAGGTGTGATCTAACGACCCGTCCATTATAATGCAGTACCTGGGTTTCATTCTAACCCATAGGAAACAATTACAATAATAGAAGTAGTTTCATCAATTCTAGCTTATGTTCACCAGTGTGTTACCATTACAGCCTATTAGAAGTCGACAGCTGAACATACGCTTCCGCCATACAGTGATGAACGAAACTAGGGCTCCAAACTAGGGTAAGCCCAAGATAAGGTTTTGTTGTTTTTAGCAGTTAATAAAAATACACCAATCTTGAGCTGTCTCCACTCTTTAGTTTCATATTCAGTGCTGTCAAGGACGTGTTTAACAAAGCACACAGAAGGCTAGATCGATTGTATGACATATGCAATTGCATACCTTCAGTGAATTTGAAAAGAGTCGTTTGGGTTTGCCTGAGCGAAAGAAAAAGATATTTACATACAATACAATACATGAAAAAAAAAAGAAAAACAAGAACAAAGTACAACCAAACTATGTACAAAATTAAAAAAGGGACGCCTGGCAGATGTGAAACATCGAAATTATTTTGTTTAAGTTATATGCATAGAACAGATTACGACAGGAATTAGATATGGTATACTGAGAATATAAAGCTTTACAATTTTTTGTACCATAAAATAATGACTATTTATTATATAATTATTCATTTTCAATTTTAATAAACCGTACAAAATGATATTTATAACTCTTAAATTATTAAATTAGCCAATAGCGTGGTTGTGCCATCTAGCGTAATCTTTACGTACCACCGTGAGAATCAATCAATTTTCGTTCGATAAAATGACTTCACTTCACTTGAATTAAGTATGTGGCGCTATAAAATTTTTATATACTGAGGGACTAAAGGAAATATTCTTTAAAAACCTCAATAGGTTTCACATTAAAAAATATTGTAAAAATCATTTGCTGTAAAATTTATTATACCTTATACCTATCTCATATTTTATGCTGCTGTCCAAAATGATATTTTTAACTCATAAGATAGTATATACATATATACATACATTATATATATATATATATATATATATATATATATATATATATATATATATATATATATATATACTATATTTGAAATTAAGCTGTGTTTCGAAATTCAAGATAATGCTTAGACTAGTTCTAACCATAGCTGCTCATTGTAGTGGAAAATATACTCGTTTTTTTTTAATAGGCTGTAACAATTTTTGGGTTAAGTGTTTTATACCACAAAATGTAGTTGGAGATTGAAGTCAACTGTTAACATAGGCCTCCTCCATAAGTTTTTTTTTGTAGGATAGGATGACAAATGAGCATACAGTCCACCTGATGGTAAGTGGTTGCTGTGGCCCATAGACATCTTCATCTATCCTCGATAACAAATCAAAATGCAGATGCATTGTCACTTGTGGGAACGTAAGATTGAATGCCTCGTCACTAGTAAAAAAGGGTCTCCGGTTCACCACACTCACCATATGAAGCACAGCAACATTAAACTATTTTACGCTGGTATTCTTATGTTGTTGGACTATGTGCTCGTTTGTCACCCTTATACCATAAAAAAAAATTATGTTTGGCATAAAAAGTATCACAATTACCTCAAAGGTTGACATTTTCATCAGGAAATTATAGACTACAAGCCATCGCTTTGTTAACAATTACTTTAATATCCCATGTATATGAGATTGTGAATAAAGCAGTATTTTATATCTCAGGAGATTAAGTCGCTGACTGCAACCAGTACACAAACAACCAAAACGAGTCATCATTGGTTTTGTTGATCACTGTGACTTTTCATTTAATGCTAAAGGCACATCAATAGAAACAAAATACAATAAAACATTATTTGAATTTATTGGTTGATCAGCTGGAAAAGCAGACTCAGATTTACACCGATTTTGGCTTCATCATACAGAGCTATAAGATCACTATATTTTTGAACTGCCATTTATTAATATCAATATTAATGCACTATAGAACTTAACAAATTTTGCATAACACACAGGAATAGTGCAAACAAAAGCACTAACAAAGAGTTATGTACCAAATTTTAATAAAGATATAGGGACGCCAGTGAGAGGCTGTTCAAAATGTTTGGAAAAATTGCTTAAAAAAACTTGTTATGGTGAATGGATTACACCAATAAAACCATGGTCAATAATTGAAATTGAATTTGTATGGATTCATACTCATACTGGCCAGTATTAATTATGGTAAATAACACTACCTCTTCTATGGATATTAGACTTTCACGAACAACATTTGCAGCATGTGGCTTATGTTATACATGGTAGAGCCATTTCTTTATAGAATAAGGGTGACAAACGAGCACACAGTCCACCTGGTGGTAAGTGGATGCTGTGACCCATAGACATCTATATTTATCCTCGATTAAAAATCAAAATGCAGATGCATTGTCACCTCTGAAGCCTAAGATGGAATGCCTCGTTTCCAGTAAAAAAGAGTCTCCAGATCTCTTCACTCACCATACGAAACACAGCAGTATTAAGCTGCATTTATATGCTGGTATTCTGTGAAAGTGTGGTCCTTCACCCGTCAAACCGACCCATTAGTGTTACATAATATAGCTGCAGTGTAATATTACACGCAAAATACGTGCTGAGACGTTGAGTTGCGGAAAACAGCCAGTCGTAAACTAAACTGAACTAAACTAGCTGCAGTGTAGCTGTACCACATATAAAAATCGCTGCAGCTATATCATTATAGTAGCAGGAATGGGTCAGCTCGACCTGTAGATTTCCAATAGCTAACATTTCCAATAGTCACTCCTTACAACATTCATAGAACAAATTGTGGTCAATTCATTTACTTTCCCCTAATTGGGCTAGGAATAAAAAAAAATTATTTCAGTGTTGTAAATCTATTATATCTAACTTTATTTTCTAAAGTTGGTATGCCAAGCTAAAATCGGTGGTGAGAGATGCTACTCGAACTAAAGTAGATACTGACATCATGGCAGGTAACGCTCAGAAGTAATACTAGTGTATTATTTTATAAAAATAGATGTACCTGTGCCAATTCCTGCAGGTTCAGATATATTAACACCACATTCATCCATGCTGAATGTGCCACCATAATTAACAACTTCTTTAACTGGACCATTTTCATTCATAGAATAATGATCACATTTTTCTACTTTAACAACAGAACACTTTATTGGTACAGATACGTCTTTAGCAATACCCTTACTATTATCATCCATTTGTTTCTTATTCAAAAATCCCTTTATGTCAGTCTGAAAAAGAGATAAATTAGAAGTATCATAAAAAGCCTATATAGATTTCAAATTATTATTTGCAATTTAAAGTTCTGGAAACCAGTATGTCTGATGTAAAAATATAATACTTCGATGACACAGTGCACTGGAAGTGTGACATAGTTATTGCCCCTCAACCCACGGAGCAAATAGGAGGTGTTATGGGTGTGATTCCACCTTAGTAGTCTGTGGATTACACTATGTAACAACGCGACAATTTGCGGGGTGAGGGGGTATTAAGCGCCGCCCACTTAACTATTTTCCATCTACCGGTAAATAGTAAAACTACTCGCATCGTTCCATATCGATGTTGCAATGGGTGCGTTCGGCAGAAAAAAGCGCTAGCAAGCGCTTGTAAGCAAAATGGCGATCGTAAGCGGTAAGCGCTGTCAAATCGTAAGTAGCTATTTTCCTCCAGGACACGATGTTAGTTTTAACCGGGGAATCTAACCTAATTTAAATATATGTTTGTAAAGTATTCATATTAAAACTTACCAATCATGAGTTTTTAATAGCATGTATATGTTTATTCATGTCATTATATTACTTAAAACTAATATTGCACAAAACAACTTATAAACTCTACTTCAAAACAAACAAATTAAATAAGCAAAATGGCGGCTTGTGTCAGCGCTACTGAAGTAGCAATCGTGTCCTGGCCGAAAACTATTTTAGCGCTTATAAGCGCTTCCTAGCGCTTTTTTCTGCCAAACGCACCCAATGTAGTTTAGCTACCTTACGCTTGGGATATAAAGGGACGTACTCAGAAATTTCGTACCAGGGAGTATTTATTTCAAGATTAATTTTGTGAATCGTCTTGTAATTACATTTTTTTTCTAAATTGAAATACCGATATTATTATAAAAAAAATCCTACTCCTTCTATAACAATAATCCTAATAATTTCACTAATATTATAAAAGCGAAAGTTTGTGTGCTCTTTCTTTCTCCTTGACCTTATCCCACGCTAATTATGTACTGTAAATGTGTTATTTTTTCACGCTGACTAACGGCTGGACTATTATGTCGTATGTATGTGTCGGTATACTACTTAATATTTCTATGGAAGAACAAGTAATATATAAACATAAACTCGATTAACGCTATCGTAAAGTTATTTAAATTATTTTGTTGCGCTCGCACTCGACATACAGTACTAAATTCTATTTAAAATTGAATTACCCGCAAAAATACCTGTTTTGGTTAGTTGTTGTCGGTTTGATGCCCTATCGTTTTCTATGGTAGCAAAATGCTTAAAACGAATATCTATATATTTTTCAGCTATAGATTTAATTAAAAGTATAATATGATTATCAGTCGGTGATTGGTCAAACATATGATTGACCGATTGTTTGAAATAATCTTGTCCAATAAGAGACTTTAATGTATTCGATACAATTTTATGTTTACTGAAATTGGGAGTATTCAAAGATTGTGATTTAACACAACGGATGCTGCATTCGGTTCGTACGCATATATTTATGACATCTTTAGAAGGAAAAGTAAGGCCACCTTTATTTTTAGTTTTTATCAAATAAAGGTCATCATCATCATAACCATCAGCATATAATTCACGAAGGCAGGTCTCACATTTGATCCTCGAATGTAAATAGTTGACTACATACCCAGAAATATATGCAACAATATGACGGCGCAAATAATGACCTATCATTGTATTTAATTGCGCATCAAATTCTAACAGTAAATCATCAGGCATAGGTTCAACATCCGTGCTATCTAATGATTCCCCGCTCAAGTCATTTTGCAAAATTTGATAACGTTCTGAAGTAATATTAATTTTTTTTTACCGAGGATTCATTCAAAATGGAAATATCCTCTAAAGGAATACAATTTCCTCTGAAACCGTCTTTCAGTTCTGCATTTATCAGGGTTTTTTTGTAAGCTGCTTTAAACCGACGTGAGGTTGGATTATTATTTGTCGTCCCATGTGCCCTTATTATCCCAAAAAATAGTTCTAAATGATCTTGCGAAAATTTGTATAGAGTTAGATATTTTAGTATGTTTTCTTTTTCAATCAGGCGGTCATACAAGAAAAGTGTGCTATTGATACATGTTAAAAGACCTATAAAGCCAGTTTTTCGATTTGTAGCGATAACAGGCTTATCTTCGTCAGGAGCTACTAGAAAAATTAAGTAATATTTAGCATATTCCAAATAATCTTTTGTTTTCGAAATATTTTTTTCAAATAAGGGCTTTTTGTATTTATACCGACACATGTTTCTGGAGTTAAGAATGTCAAAGATATTCTTAATTAGACGGATAAAACTAATTGTAGCCGCCACATTTATGAATCCAATATTACTTTTTTCACAAACTTGGAGTGCGTCGGCTACGCTATTACTAAAAAGCTGACTGGCTAATTTTACTTTCATTTTTTGTTGCTGAAAATGTATATGCTTGTTTTTTAACTTGTTCCCGAGATGGAGGCCTTCAAACTTTTGTAGGTTATTAAGTTTGACGAGATAAGACCATTCGATATAATTGCCCCGATAATCAAGAAACTTATTTTTATTTTCAAAGGTATTGCGCACTAGTATTAGCATGTTGCATGCGTTGAGGAATACTGCTACTTCGTAGTCAGCACTAGGGTGTTTAAAAGTTGATTTTATTTTCTGAGGATCTAACGAACATCCTAACTTTTTAAGCATAGCAATATTTGCTGCGCAACCATCTATCGTAAGTGAAACAACGTCTACACCATTTTCTTGGCATTTGTAAAGGCATTGTTGAACTATTGAGGCCCGTTGTTCTCCGGTCATAGACCGAATCAGAAAATAACCCACAGGTAATTTCCACCGTTCTGTTTGAGATACAAGTAAGAAAACTAAGGCTTGAGACGCCTGATCCGAGTTATCCTTTTGTACGTCATTAAGCCCGAGATCAACATAACCATGATATTTATTTCCATCCCATTCAACATGCTTCCTAACAGCCATCTCATCCATAATAAGACTACACAAAGCACGTTTACGTGATGAGTTGGTTTTGTGCTTTAATACATTAAAAGCCTCATCTGTAAATCCAGCTTCACCATTGACACTTTCATACCATTTAGAAATGGTTCTCGGATGCGGTAAGCATGTATCGAAAGTTTCCTGACGTATGAGTACGCATTTGGCGAAAAATAATGAAGCGTTAAAGCGAATGATCTAAGGGCTGGCGAATATTTCTTTTTCAAAGGAACTTTTTTAATTTTTGATAACTGACGCCCAACCAAGTCTTTCAACTTTACATTTATTGAAGATAAAATTTCGGAATCCTCTCCCAGTAAAAGATGTTTGGTTTCCAATTCTGTAATTAAGGCAGTTAAATTTTTAACCTAAAACAAAAGCGAAACGTACTTAAAGCGTATTACATTTAGAAAAAAACATCTTAAAGTTGTATGTGAAGCGAAAGTATTGTTACTATATAAGCACCTTCTTTTTCAAACGTTTAACTTTCACTTGAAGTCTTCTGATCTTTAGCCCATCTTTTTTCGATTTCCATCGAAGTTGTTCTATCTCTCGCTTTAGCTTCTTCTTTCTAGGGGAATCGTTAAATATTAAAAATTCATTTAAATCACTTGTGGTAGGCCTAGGTGGTGATATTGAGGGCTCTGGTAATTTTCTTTTAATCTATAATATAAAGTATAAAACAACAATATGAAAAGTAACTCCTTCTACCAAAATAAGAAAACTAGTAAAATACAAAGTGCATCCAAACGAACCGATATATCCAGATTAATACTGGGTAAAGTTCCCTGCTTTAATTTTTTAAAGCCTTTTTTTGTAACTGTGAAGTCGTCATCATTGAAATGGCACGAACAAATCTTTGTATATTTTGTCGGAGTCCAGTCTTTTCTATTAATTTTTGCTATCCATTGCTGTTTAAGATTATCTTCGGATGGAAATCTAGAATATAAAGTAAATAAAATAACCTAGATGAGCTTTTTAACTAACTGAACTACAACTGTTATAATAGTTGTCTTTCTTAAGAAAAGTTTCAAGGAGACTGAATACTGTACATAAAATATTTAATTTCAAGAAGTCTTTATTTTACTAAGGATAAAATGAATATTTCTTGAAGGTTGACTTTTACAAAATGTTAAATATTTAAGTATTTATATACATTGTAAACCTTTCGTAAAAAATCAGCCTAAGTAATATTTCCTTCATTTTAAGCCGTGGGTAACTGGGTAAAATAATTGGATTCTAATTACGGCCCTGTCTTTTTATTTTAATTTTGATTGTTCTTTTACTTGACGGTAGATGGCGGCCTGTTTACAAAATGATTATAAAATCTATAAAGGTAATATTTTGGCGATAAAAAATTCTTTAGGACTGAAACCAACTTCAAAAAAAAACAATTTCAGCACCTTCGTATGATTGTTTTACCAATACTGAGCTCGACTTACCTTTATATTTTTAATTCACACGACACAAAGTGCTGCCATCTAGTATCGAATATATTTAATTATATTTGAAAGCCGATGCAAAGAGATCTTTCTAGAATTATTTTAAGTAATTAGATATATAATTACTTACACATGAAATGTGATACCATCCATAGCATCAGAGCGTCTATCTGAGTAGCTTTTACACGATAAAACACAACACTTCATCCTTTTCTTCTTAATAATACGAAAATACACTGATTTGCAATTTTCGACACCGATGCGCACAGGACGAACGCTGACAGTATACCCCGCCTAAGGGTATTAGTGTTCTGTGCAGTATACTAACTAAAGCCACGCTCACTGTGATGACGTCGGGAACTAGTTAGAATCACAGTGCACAGTCGCTTAGGCCGTCTCCTCTTTATATTTGCTCCGTGCCTCAACCCGACAAAAATTAGGGGAGGTATGTGCCTGTACACAGGCTGTAATTTTATTTAACATTAACTGTAAGCAGTATGTCTAAAGAGCAAAATCAAATAATACTGAATAAAATGAACTGCATCTGCTGTATCAATAAAAAAAGAAGTTTAGAATTGTTTTCCACCCGTATTCACAAACGATACCTACATAAGTACGGCAGCAACACTATGTTAAGTAAGATATTTCCACAGAACACTATTACTCCTATTGGTCACACGTCACTCAACAAGCAAGACCAAGATATTATTTTGTCATTTGAATTCTAAAGATAGTTTACTTTTTCGTTTAATTTTCATTATGAATACGAGTTGCTTGCCTATAATTAATGTGAAATCACCTAAAATATGGTAAGTTCTCATTTCAGCATTTTATTTTTCTGTTTATTTCGTTGTCAATTTCGTGCAAATAATAACACGTGTTGTTTTCTTACAGTTCAAAGAAGTTACCATTTACTTCTTCGGAAAGGGAATTAATTGTCGCTTTAGTTCGTGAGCGGCCCATTATTGAGGACAAGCGTACACACGCTCAAAACATTGAATTAATTAAAGAAGAAGGCCTGGAATGAACTGACGATTGCCTATAATGCACAGTCCTATGTTACACCTAGGAATCACACACAATTAAAAAGATGTTGGGGAAATATAGAATCTCAAAGAAAGAAGGAGCTTTCTCTTGAATCAATTAATATGAGACATACAGGTGGAGGACCACCAGAAAGTGCTTTATTATCAGATAATGTTGTGGATGCAATTTGTCCATTTATAAATTTAACTGTTCCAGGGGTTATTGACTCCAATTCTATAAAAAGTTAGTATAAATGGTCAGAATACCTAATTTACCTGGTAAAATTTATAATTATTATCAATGACCTGTTAATGATTTACTTATTTTAGTTTCAGATAACTTGACACAAAGTGTTGTTTATGAATACGTTTTCTGTACCCTGTGCGTTCGAGCGCACTGTGAGACTGCATAGTAACGTTTGTGAATACGGGTGTTCGTATCACAATGCTCCCAAACTCTTATAATTACTTACCTAGTAATTAATAAAGACACCCTTTTAAAGTTCACAATGGTTCACAACACAGGCCATAGATAAATAAATATATAGCAAGCTAGCAACAATCACAAAACCAAAAACAAAAACACTATTACTTCCGTAGACAGAGAAACCTCTAGACTAATCATAGATTACTGACTATATACTAGAGACTAATGATCGGCGTGGCCTCGAGTGAGAAAGGACGATAACGAATTTTTAGGTTATCCAATAATCTTTATGACTTTTAAACACATTTAGATTAAAATTTTAATTGTTCTAAGAACTGAACTGAACAAGATTCACCAATCTTACGCTCACAAAACACTTTTTTCTCACTTAAACCAACTTGTAAACTCCTTAAAACCCTACGCTGTTAAAGTTGTTTAGCAAACTGTAGAGTTTGCTAAACAAAAAAACCGGCACGGGGAAAGGGACAAACAATCACACCGCTCTATCTCATTTCTATGCAAGACGTATGCAAAAATCTATCTTTTTCGTGTGCGAATGCGAAAGAAGGCGTCAATTTGTCTATAGGTTTATCTGTCTACGATTACTTCTCTAGTCTCTAGCTACGAGCACTTAACCCTATAGAGAAGTCATTGAAGTAATATGGAACAGCTATCTCAAACAAAAAACGTGCGCTACTCTGTGTTCGCGCGGTTGTTTTTTTTTATCATAGAATATATATAGGTAGAATGATCCGCAGGTAATAGTAGATTGTTTTGTTAAATAAGTAAATTATATCGAGAACAATATTTAAATTTTGTCATTTATTTTGTATATTATATTTGCTTATTTATAATATTACATAAAATATTATATCACAATTACATTTTAATGATATTTTTATCTGAATATTTTAAAAGGTATGTCAAATATGAAAAAAAACATACTAAATGTATGTTTAACAAAACTTATCAACATAACATTTAAATTACAAATATATTTACTTAAATTAGAATAAGAGTCGTTCATAAATGCTGGGCACGCGAAAGTTAAAAATGGACGAATTTATTCCACTTTTACTTTGATGTGGAAACCTAAAAATGAAATAAAAGAATAATAAGCAGATTTAAACATGAAAAATTTAGCCTAATTATAGTAACATATATGTGTTTCTACATAAAAAATGTGTATGTTAATATATTCGTCCTATACTTAAGTACCAACAGAAATATCGCTTCTGAACATATCAATTTCATAATCTATATTCCATGACACGAGATCGCGTCTTAGGAATAATTTGTTTTATTATTAATCTTTAATACTTTTTTTATTCATTAAGTATCTTATTAATCGATGAAAAGTAATTCCTTGGTTTTTACTGACATTTGTTGAATTATTTGTGCTATATCTAAGTACACACGACGGCATATTTTTATCAAGAGATTTTTTTTTTAAATCAACACAACATGTGACAACTCTACAAGCGCCTAGCGAGTGACTGATTAAAGTGCGGTGTATGCACCGCAGTTGAGTGGAACAGAGTAGCTGAATGCGGTGTCGCCTCTAGTACATAGTACATAATAGCTCAATGAGAGAAGTAAAGTAATACATCATAGATAAATAAATATGTAGCAAGCTATAATACATGCGAATTTAAAAGAAAACAATTTTGTCAACTATAGTACATTTCTAGGGCAGGCGGAAAAAAGTCCATTGACCTTAACAATACCGTCGGGGTAGGCAATCTTTTTTGTTTAGGTTAATTTTTTTAATCCTTTTATCATTACATACATCATCAGATTGAAAGGCAAGGGTGCCGAGTGCTAAGTTCTATACAGGCCCTATGTATATTATTATATAATAAAGAAAGAAGATTATCCAGTGGCGTAGCTACCTTGGGTGGCATCCGGTGCGGAAGTTAGTGGTGTCACCCCATCGAAAGTAAAAAGCAATAAATTTTATATGATAAAGGACATGAATCATTTATTATTTATAATATTAAAGAAATAACAAAACACAATAATAACTAAGGCAGAAAAGGAATTGTTATACAATTAAAATTTCTTCTTTGTAGCTTTGACAGCTGCAAACTCACCAATAACTTCATCGAAATTTATATTTTGTATTGCCTCGTGTTCGATGGCTATATACCAAGATTGCTAAGTCGCGATTGGGTCATTGTTGCCCGCAAACAGTTTTTTTATTAATTTTAATTTTCTGAAACTCCTCTCATATGAAGCTACGGACACGCAAACCGTCATGAACAATTTCAGAGCAATCTATATATAATAACATTAAAAAAAAATTATAATAAGTTTTAAAAAATCTGGAGACACCCAATGAGTAACCGTAACATTAGCGGCTTTTAAATGTCTTCGCAGTCTTGGTATCTACAAAAGTAATTCGGTTTCAGAGATCTAATCATAAAAATCAGTAAATTTAGATGTAGCTAATTTCAGTTCTTCAGTATTCGCCAAAAGCAAATCTTTAGTTTGTACGATCTCGAACAATGAAGCTACATCTTGAAGAGACTTCGAGAGCGTCAGGGTCTTTTGCGGGAATCCCCGAATTATACATAGAGCTGAGCTAGTGCTTGTGGAGGAATCCCTGAAAAAGAAATTTTTGTACTAGCGATTTATTTATTTTTTGTTTGTACATTGTTCTTAAAGTTGAGAGACCGGGTGGGTGTCACCCCAAAAAATTAGCTATGCCACTGAGATTATCCTGTACCTAAATGAATTAAAAATCAAATTAATATTAATTTAAGTTTATTATTTATAAATCATGAGTTATTACAATTTTGATTATTACGTTAATAGTAGGTAAGTACTTTAATAAGTAGGTAGGTAAGTAAAAAGACGAAATTTTAATGCTAAGTATTCTTCAGCAGCCAACCTTGAAACATACATAAAACTTCTCATAAAAGATTGTCAGGGACCCTTGACAGACTATTCATCTGTATATATTTCAGAGTCATCTTACGATGATGTAGATGTAGAAGAGTCCGTCACTTTGATTATAACCTAAAATATCGACAGTCTTCTTTTTCATATCCGTTTTGGATGGATATACGTCACTAGACCACATTTCTTTTACATATTTATAGATGTTTACAATCATTATTTTTCGGTTTCCGAAATATGCGACAATTTCCGCTTCTTTCGTGGTGACGTAAAGGCTTTATGAGATTTTCATGTCGATGGACCCGATTTCATAATAGTGATAATATACAAAACGTCATAAAACAATAATAAATTCTATAATACAAAACGTAATGATACAATTAACAAAACAAACTTAATAAAAATTCATCACGCACGGCGTGAGACACAGGTTTATTATCTCTGAATGGCCGCTTCCTTCACCTACCTGCTACCCTACCCCGTACCATGAGACACGCTTAGCGCATAACAATACGTAATCTATAAAGAAATGTATGGAAGCAATAACTGTCGTTTTGTTGCGATGCTAACATAATACTTGAGGTCAATGTACTTTTTTCCGCCTGCCCTAGAAACGTACTATAGAATTAGGGTGCGGGGGGAGTTGTGATCGCTGCGAAGTACTCCGAACTATTCCGAAGAGATTCCGAACACGATCGCTAGGGCGTGTATTGTAATGAATTTATGATTTCTATCGATATTGACAAATTTTTTCGCTTTTTTAATACATACTTTCAGTATCAGTAACTAGCTTTTGACTGTGACTTCAATTTTCCTGTGCAACTAAGAAATGCAATTTTAAATGTACTAACTTTTCAAGCAGTATACTCAGGTAAAATATAAATGCCAACTTCGAAAAAAATTCAAGATTCAAATAACGGAGTTTAAAATAAACTTTTAATAATTTGTTGAACTTTAACATAAAATTACTTTAACATAAAAAAATTAAATATTTAATACGTGGTAGAGCCATGTTGCAGTTATATTAGTAGTATAATTGTACCATGAATGGGTCGGCTCGACCAGGGAAGGACCACGCTCTCACAGAATACCAGCATAAAATAGTAGCTTTATGATGTTGTAATATAGGAAAGGTGTCAATGAAGGAGACGTGGTTGGTACTAAAATTTTAATTAGACTGCCTCGTTATTCTACCTTAACACTAAAGTATATTAACGTGGGAGCACTACACTACACCTCCCACCGAAACAAAAGAATAAAAAAATATAAATAATAAATAAATAAATTCTTTATTCAGATAATTAAAATCCATATGTGGGTTAGTAACACAATAATAATAACAATAATTATAATAACAAGGGTTAGTAAAAAAAACAATGGTTTGCTTAAAATCTAGGGAAATAAAATAAATACACTGTGCCGAGGCAGATCATCATAGGGGTGCATAGGGCCCAGTTATCAGTCTCTGCACAAGACATTTCCACAGCGGCGATGTATATCTGTCCGCTACGGTCCTCAGAATGCTGTTGTGACTGGCTCGTACCCTGCTAATAAGGGATGCGGTTTTTTTTCGTATGATGGCATTGAAACGGGTTAACCTGCGAGCCAAC